ACTTTGTTTAGTTTTCAGGACTGATATATGATTTGGAATAAATGACGATTTTACAAAATTATTTATTGTAACCTTATAAACAAAATTACTTATGGTAACCTTATAATCAAATTTAACTCATATCACACTCTATGTTGTGCTTAATATTTAGTCTTGCTTGGTGTTCTATTCGTTAACGGGAATTACAGGTTTACGAAGAAAACATTATGACGGCCGGAACGATCACTATCGTTGTGCAATATGTACTAAACTTTATAAAAATTAAAAATATGCATATGGATAATAAAGAAATATAAAAATCTCAGATATAAGTATAACAAGCTACGGGTATATAACTCGAAGTCGTTAATTTTGCTTTGTTACGGTGGGACAAATCAGCGTCATAAAATGGGCGCTTTACCGGAGAACCAGTGAGTAGCGCAAAGCTAACAAAACCTGCGTTTCAGGAGTAAGTGCATGGGACCTATTTGTCATGTTTTATATCTGGTTCTATTGCCAATGTTATTTCATTGATACTGTGTCTATCCAGTCTGCATCTGGATATATCCTCGTGTATTGTGTTTTCGACCTACTTACATACAGAGACATATAATATTATATGTCTCTGTAACATATCATGTTTCTGTTCAATATACTTTAGTGAAGGCATTGTAAAGTGAGGTTGGTGAGTATTGTCTGTAATCTCCCCTGACATACTGCTGTTTCTGTGAATTAAAATTAATTGATATTTTATTTTTTTTAGCAAAAAGCTGTAAGGATTGTCCACATTTCCGTATTAAAAATAACTTTAAGTATTACAACTAACCACATGACAGTCATGTGACGTAATGACCGTAAAGTCCTCGGTCATATTTCTAGAATATTTTTTTATTTTTGATAGATTCTTGTGGAAGGTAAAAATAGTTTTATTGAAAAGGTACAAAAATGTGATATCAAATAAAATAACGTAAATACTTTTAAAATTATAATAACTTTACTTGAAACATCAATACCACACGTGGTATTATTTGCTATTGTTACTAAATATAGCAGTCAAATGTGACGTCACACTGGCATGCGCAGCATACGGGAAGTGAAAGTAGAATTAGGTCGAAAACGTAAGACGGTCGAAAACACAATACGAGACGATAATATCCATTTCATTTTCAAAATGATCATACGAAGAAAGTGTGGTTCTAATAGTGAAGAATCTTCTTCGTCTTCTAACATTTGCGGCATCTTGATCGAGAATAAAGCCATCTTAGATATGGTTTAATTCATATTCGCGGAAAAACTACGATCGAGATATGACAGTGGGTATAGCTGTAGTAATCAGGTAATTGATTTTAACACCTGGATTTACGTATTATTTACGCTCATCTTAACTTACGACGGCTTTGTGAAACGGCTGTAAAACCTACGATTTATTTACGATGAACGTACGATGACACGTAGACTTACGAAGGCTTTGTGAAACGGTACCCTGGACTTTTTCAACAAATTTTTACTTTAAGTTCTGACTTCGGTCTTATCCCATGTGTACAGTTTCAGTTTAAGGTATGGTTTGGCACTAGACCTTTTTTAAGCCCCTTCCAAAAATGCATGTGCCTTCCTCCGTCATGACATATTGTCACGGTGTCATTGAGTCTTTCTTCCTGTATTTCATTTTGTTTTTGTTGTAAATATAAATCAGGCTGTATGTTTGCATATTTGCTTTTTATTTACACTCGTTGTTTTGGAAATTAAAAAGAAGATGTGATATGATTGCCAATGAGACAACTTTCCACATGAGACCAAATGACACAGAAATTGACAATAGGAGAAGACGTTACTAAGTTGAAAAACTTGTGTCTAATCCATTTGTCATTTTTGAACAATAAAATCTGTTTAAACTAACAATCATAGGTCACCGTACGGCCTTCGAAGCTAGAATACAGTGTTGCTATTTACTGAAGTTACTCTTAGACTAGTAGCTCTGTACTGTTTTGTTGATGTTGGAGTTCCATAATATTTTTTGACGATGTTGTCCATGTACCATTTTGTAGATTGTACTTCTTGGGCATATGTTTTATAGCGACACGCAACTAGAACTTTGGCTATTTTTCAGTTTAAGTTGTCGTCAGCTAGCAATTTATCTATGCCCTTTTCGGGCTGATTTCAGATGTTGTTCAATAGTCCAAGTACTCGGATATGTAGTTGGGCTTCTACTGGTAGTATTCCGTTTAGGATGTTGATAGTAACATCTGCTTCATAAGTTGGTAATGAGAGTATAAGCTTATTAGTAGCTTTTTCTGGAAGTTTTCGATTAATTCTGGTGAACTTGTTTTTAGTAGTTTTAGCTCTTATCCATAGAGAAGTACTGGAGATACGTAACACGAATGACCGAATGACACTTGGAATGACCGTATGACATATGAAATTTTAATCTTAGTTTAAAGAGTATTTATTAATGAAAAATTTTATAAGAATAAAGTATTGAAATATTACATGAAGTTTTAATCTTAGCACATATATGTGAATTTTAAACATTGATTTATAAATAATAGTACATTAAAAGTGTATGTTATAACTAAAACATGATTTATTTAAGCAGGCAAGTTCATAAAATGTTAATATGATTTCGTGGATACATCTGTTCCTGATTGCATATATACGATCGCTCAATGTGTTCAAGTTGGACTACCAAAGTGGGGCCCTCATTTGTAAAATATATTATAACTCACTGACACTCCATGAATTGAAATGTATTTCATTTAACAGTCAACAAAAATTATTTTAAGTAATAATTTTGCGGTACGTTTTAAAACCGCTCAGGTTTATTTGGAATATGTCATGCATGACCGATGATCATATTCGATACCAATTATCATGTTGATTAGGTCTATACAAAGTTGAAATACACCATTTCGAAGTTCTAATGAGTTTCCTTTTAGAAAGTTATAATCTTTAAAAAAAAAATATCACGCGCCAAGTAAGTGCTAAAATGTAACACTTTGCAATAAATGGATGATAAATTCCTGCACCATATTTTACTCTTTTAATAGAGAAAATTAAGGAAAGAAAAACGGCGCGTGATATTTTTTTTTAAAGATTATAACTTTCTAAAAGGAAACTCATTAGAACTTCGAAATGGTGTATTTCAGCATCTCAGCATTTTTCAAATCCATGGTTAAACGGTATCTAGTGTTAGATAAATTAAGGTTTTCCTCTTTCAAACGCACTATTTCTTTTTCAAAATTTTCAGTTCTACTGGTATGCTCGGCTAACTCATGTTCGATCTTTTGGATTAGCCGAACATGTTGCAAACGTTCCAAATTTAATTCGTCCAAACTGTTCCTTAACATCACATTATCGTTTATTACGGTATCCAATTTTGAATTTTCACACTTGAGCACGGCGATTTCTTTCAGGGAGTTTCGGTGAGACGCTTTTAACTTGTGTAGGTGTTGTTTCGCGGATTCGTCCTGTGTGGAGCACGTAAACGGGGAGAGTTCCTTGTTCTCAAGTTCTTGAAACGGAAATTGAGACATTTGTTTCTTCTCTATAAACTTTCTCATTCGGTCGCTGTCTCTCTGAATTTTTGACTTCGACTTCTTCTTTGGTTTTGGGTTGCTGACAAATGACTTCACGTGAAAATTACACATGCGGGCAAAATGTCCATGATGTCTGCACTTGTAACAATAAGCGTTTATTGCATAACACCGATGGTATGTGAAAACATTCAATGTCTTACTGCAGTATTTGCACAGAAAGTCCAAACAGGTATCTGATTTTCTTATGGGAAACGGATGTCCATTTCTGCAAGGCTTGTAATTCCAAGGTCCTTCCATTCTGTTGCTTCTGAAGGTATTCATTTGCTAGTTTGGGGGAACTAGCTCAGGATCGTGTCGCGGGTTACCTCAACCAATATAAAACCGGGGTTTTTCCGGCTATAGTAATTCAAAGACGGAATACCAATACTTTAAACTTTATTAGCAAGGTCCGGACAGTACCAGACCTAAGACCAAAAACTGACTTCAAAATATCATACAAAAGCATATATAAACAACAGTATCTATAGAAAAGGATTAGTGTCCAACGGATTAACTTGTCATCATCAAAGTGATTTCCATTACGACAAATATATATTTAACAATAGAATTGATTAAACACAAAGAAAGGTAAAAGGTGAGATAAACGGATTAATAAATTGTCACTTTAGCACTTGAAATATATTGTCTGAATTTGATTTATTTCTAATTCACATTTGTCCAAATCTTCCGGGTTATACATGGATGCAATTTGGGAACTCCTCATTACAGAATCATGGATCGTTTGGAGGTCGGTTCAAACCCATTTTTCTATGATTCAATATTGATTCAAAATTAAATTGGTGGAATTATATAGTAAATAAGGATACATCTACAAAATAACCACAGAATGGAAACTTTTGTCTGGATCATAAATAAACGTAGGGGAAAAACTGTCAAAATAGGTGCAATTTGGGTACCCTCACGTTAGAAATCAGAACATCGATAATATAAATCTATATTCACTTTTTATATTTATTCAGCCATTATTTTGCAAGTCAGATTAATCTTTTTGCGATAAGACTTCTTAATTTATGTGGGACACTTAAAGACGTCAAACGAGTATACTGAATGTAGATGTGCAAACACAACTTGTTCAAATATTCCGTGAATCATTTTTTACAAATGTAAGATACTTTTAAACAGCAGACTGCTTACACAATCAGAATGAAAAAGTCCGCCGAACTCAGATGCGGATCCAGGATTTTGAAAGGGGGGGGGGGGGGGCAAACTAGGCAACGTTTGGAGTGGGACATGTTAAAAGTCTATGCATTAACCATACATGTAGCTCCATAAGAGGACACGGACCCCCTGCCCCCCTTAAACCCGCCTCTGGAACTGAAATTCGTCTTGTATTCTCTATCTAATGCAGCAAGTTTCACCCGAACTGTGGGCTACACATTCTGTTAACGTTTTCAAATATAATTGAGTTTCTGTCACTCTTTTAAAAAGGAAGTGGTGTAAAGATTCTTTCAAATGGTACCATAGTATCTGGAAGTCAGAGGAAGCTCCTACGGCAGGAGTGCATCGTGTTGGAGGATATTTGTATGGAAGAGACGAATGTGAGGCCCATGTGAGTAAAATTGCCTCGCTTTTTATCAAAATATTAACGGACGTAATAAATATCCCTTGTATTCTATTGACAATATTAGAAATTGATGACATGGGAGTTGCTGCACTATTAGATTAAAATATAATTCAAAAACAGAAGCATGCATGCTCACGGTATACAATACTAATCGTTGTCTTTCCTTCTTGTGTTATCAAACAGCCCTAGGGATGTAAATATTTCGTGTTTTTGTCCCTATATCACTCCTTATTTTTCTCTAAGTTATGATTGATATTTTTCGTTGCATGGTCCCTGAGACCGAATCAATATTTTTAATGAAAACCAAAGACTACGGTGGGATTACATATAAGTTTGCATAAAAAGGGCGATCAGTATAAGAATGACGATATATATATGATGTCACTATTGACCTTGACTTTTGAATAATTATACTTGAATGTTTATTTTTAATTAAATATTTCTTACAGACACCCCTGTATTGTTATGAGACGAGAAAGTTGTCAAAAGATGAATTAAGCTGTCTTCCAGGCGAACCAAGGTTTGTATTTGTGTAATACAAATAAGATCAGATGTAGGATATTAATAATTAATTCAGGTTATGGGACAAACAGAGACTTAAATGCCTGTATATGTTTAGCACCGGTAACCAAAGGCTAAATTTTGTTGCTAGGTTTCGCTTAATAATTTACGCTCAGTATTGACGGAATAAAAGACTAGTATGGAATATCTCTGAATTGAACAAGTACCCTGTTTTGACATGTTTGCTGCAGGTTAAGGAGGTACAAATGTTTTAGTGCCTATTTTCCGTGTTTTTGTTTCACAAACAGGTAGTTGGTTTTCTCTTTTGAATTGTTTCACATTTTGTCATGTCTGGACCTATACCGTATGAATTTTGCTCATTGTTAAAGGCTGGTCGTTGACCTATAATTGTCCACCTCTTTGTCGTTTTGTCTTTAATGGATAGTTGCATCAATGGCAATCATACCACATTTTCTTATTTCTATAAAAATCCTTATTTTTATAAAAAAAAATCGGAATTTTGATACTACCGAATGGGACTTGAATACTGGATTTCTAGTAATACTATATTATACACCTTACACGGAGGTTACACTAATTTGAGTAGCGAGCTGCACAGAACCAACACTTACGTGTTACGTTAGTGTGAAATCACACTTAGATGATACATAACACGATTTTTGGTGTAAAACACTCAAACACATCGATTTTCTTGAATAGTTGTCCTTAAAATGGTATAACTTTTGGTGTAACATTTTATCCTTTTTTATATGGATAAACGTTGTTTTTCACATATTTTTAATCATTTATTGGCAGACTGAGTTCAGGTTGTCACGGAATAGAAGTTCCTTTATAATATAAGTTCCAAAAGGAAAAAATGTTCTGGAATATTATTTCCACAGGAATAAATATTACAGTATATGTTCCTAACGGAATAAATGGTATAGAATATTTGTTCCAACAGGAATAGATATTATGACATTGTTTATAACAAAGTTTCCAGTGGAACTTCTGTTAGGCGGAACAAATATACGTTGACAAGGTGACTGTTCTATATGACAAACGATGTTTTGCAAATATCAATGTCATCAATAAAATGAAAATATTATTCAGTCCTCCACCGAAGACAATCCAGAACAAAAACAACGCAATTTTCTTTAAAAAGCATATTAAGTTACTGGAGAGACAGATTAATAAAAGCAATTTTGCTTGTTTCTGAATCCTATTTATTTCATGTATCAGAATTGTATACTATGTATATATAATTATATTGATTTATTTGAATAAAATATTGTTTAAACTAAGTTACTTTGGACCAAATTTTGTTGTTTTAGTTTGGAGTATCATTCCTGCTAAAAAAAATATAAAATACTCAAAAGTTGACATAATCTATCAATGTTATTTACGGAGCTGCAATACTGTGAATTATTGTACAGATTTAAGATTTTTTTAATCGGCCCTGCCAGTGAATAATTATGGGGACATTGCCAACACCCCTTCTTTTGGGACTGTTTTAAAATGATAACAGATTTGCCCTGATATGGATGTTAGTCGGCGTCGAATTTGTATTAACTTATAGTACATGTAAGCAGATCAACGAAAATATTTTAAAAAAGATAAACATTGGAAAGACATGACTAGCAAAGTAGACTCGAATAAACTTGATATGAGGTTTGTCAAAATCAGAGACGACTGGTAATCTTATCCATTTGATTTTACAGAATACTAGCTTGTTGTCAAGTTCCTGTGATCAATTTAATTGATTTATTTTTCAGATATGGATATTTTAGCGACACCTTGATGATTGAATGTCGACGGTATTTGCCATGGTTACTTCAGTGGTAAGTTTATTTGCTTTGTTTCTTTTGCATTTAACATGCATTGAATCATTGCCAAATTCAGCTTTTTAACTTCAGTTTTTAATTGAAATGAATTTCTTCTTTACTTTAATCTTATAATGTCTTTCTACTTTACACTTCTAACGTTATGTTATTTTAAAAGTTCTAAACCAGTTTTCAAAATATTGTGTTCGTGCTGAAAAAAACATTGCATTTCAGGTTTCATAAAAATGGCGGAAAAACAAGAGTCGAGAAAATAGAGTCACTTTCACAAGTAAGCTTCCCGTTTCATACTATATGTCATGAATATTTATTAACACGACAAACTTCAGAGCAATATAGAAGTATATATATATATATTTGAACACTTTCAATATTTGTAGAGATATTTATCATATTTATTTATATCAAGGTGTTGAGTTGCAGCTATAGCATCACGAGCCAATTGGTATTTATTTCTACAACAGTCCAAGCTAACATTATCATTTTTTATACAATGATGCCAAGGATAGAAAGATATTGTTTTCAATCTTTCTGCAAACGATATTAAAATCGTGCTGTGTGTGTTAAGTATTTATAAATCATTGTCGATCTTCCTTTTCAAACTATTTGTCTATTTTAGTTGATGCGTCGTTATACACAATGTACAAGTTTACACATTGTCGTCCGTAGGTCTGTCCGTATAACATTTCAGTCGCATTTTTTCTCTCTCAACAACTACAAGTTATAGCTTCTTAATATATTGCACCAAGCCTCTTCTGGGTAAATCATACCTTGTAATACGTTTCAGTGCCTTCGATGTTTTACTTCCTGATTGCCGACATATGATATAAAATTTTCATACTATCTGCAGAATACAATCCAAAACATTGGACAGGAGTAAATTGGTGACCAATGCAAACAATACATCCTCAAAAAGTTGGTGAAAGTCGTTTCAAGTTCAAAGGGCGTGACACGCTTCCTTTACGGGGCATCGGATTTAACGTCCCCATTCCGACCGAACGTGACTGGATGCGATCAATTAAGGATTTCAAACTTTCTGGTCAATCAATATACATTTAGTTATTCCTACAGAATCACACTGTGCCATGACTTTATATAATAAATTTCAGATTCAATCTGGGTTCTGTCATCTTCGCTAGCCAAGGGTTACGCTAGTGGATCGTAACCCTTGGCTCGAAGATGGGGCTCTGTATTGTTCACGATTTATTTCTTTAATTCTGTTTACTAGTGATTTACTGCTACTTCTCCAAGCCTTGATTCAGATACGTTAGTAGAATATATGTCTGCTGCATCAGCCATTTTCATAAAAAAATTCCAAAAATCATTGAAAAAAAAATCACAAAAGTCACGAATTATTCAGTACAACTTTCGATAAATTTTGGTCAAAATGCATTTGGTGAAAATAACTTAAAAAAGTACCTATAAAAGTAATATTGTTTGAACATTTATGTTTCAAAGTTTTATAAACACCTAAGTGATTTCAGATTTTACACCAGTACGATAATTGCGTGATTTCAGATTGTACACCAGTACGATATTTACGTCAACTGTCTTGGACTGGGAGCCAGAGAATTGTTTGAAGACAAAGAAATGTTTCCTGTCAGAGGACATCTCATAAGAGTAAACAATTATAATTTTCTATTAAATTGTTTCGATGAATATATTATATATATGACTTTTATGTAATAACAACAAAGACCATTCTACCGTATGAGCCTGTGTCATTTACATTGTATTTTAAAATAATAGTTTGCTGACTAATTGGAACTCTATAGGACATGAGCGTTGTAATTCTGAGTTCCACATAATTATATTATTTAGTTCCTAAAAATCTGAAAAGAATTACATCTAGACGGTAACATATAAAAGCACCTTATGTTCTCAATTCAATATTTTAGAGAACGAGTAAAGTATTGATGTGAGTTTTATGTTATACAAATAATTAAAAGTGATTTTTTTGTTGAGAAAGAGAACCTGAGACTTCTATAAAGTAGTCTCAGAGTGAACGTATTTCTGTAATCTATTAATCTAAAAACTATGATTATCAGGTGCAGGCACCATGGGTGAAGAATGCCTATTTTTCTGACTCTTCAACATACATATATCCCGGGTAAGATAAAATACCACACTAAGATTTTTAAATTACAAGAATAGTGAGGTCCATTTTCTCTTTATTTTTTTAAATCAAATTATAGCCATGTCGTCCCTTTAATATATACAAACTACAATATAATGGAATTTTGCAAAGACTATAATTTTACATATATTTTCATTGCAGTTTTTTAGATAGCATCAGAGACATATAATACAATTGTATTATATGTCTCTGATAGCATGTTATAAACAAAATCATTTGTTTAATCGAAGGAAGACCGCAACACAATAGCGTACACAAAAAGACGTCATAAGAGGTCAACAATACGCCTTTCATCCCATCTGTACCTTCTTTAGTATACACATACATATATTGAATAAATCGTTGTGTATTACTTGGTATTATTTTGGAAAGCAACATCATACCAGAGACATATAATACAATGTATTATATGTCTCTGATCATACTGACACGGGAATTCATTTGGCTGCTTGGGGTATATGAATACAGGCATGCCTCGTCTGATTTGGAAGAGAAATAAATTGCTAAAAGGGCGTTTTTGAGAATGCCAGTTCCGTTTGCACACGTTGAAAAAAACCCGGGCGTACTATAACTTTCACAAGTATTCTATAGGGGACTTGCTGTAAAGCTTAGTTTCTTCAATTGACTGTATTCATTGCACCAATGTTTTGTTTTCTAGTGACATAGACAATTATTTGACCATTTATAGTCCACCTATTGGTCAGTTGCTAATAATTGTGTTCTCTTCCTGAATGTGCAAAATTGATTGCATCTGGATTCGAAACACGTTTTTTTTTGCATAGACATCAACACGAGAAAAACATTAAATGTAAAATACGTTAATTATACTAATATATCGATTTAAACATATTATATCACATTCTTATTTGTTCATGCAGACAAGACGACGTTGTGTTAGGAGGAACAAGACATGTAGGAGAGGAGTCTTTAGATTATAGTGAAGATACATTTAATGACGTCTTACGCAGATGTTGTCAAATATTACCAGGTCTTAAGGTAAACTCTGATCTTCGTCTCTCTTTCGTTCTTTTTTTAAATTAATACATGTTTTCGTCATAGGCTCTCAGTTAGTGGATACGATTTAATATTGTTTCTTATTAGGACAATACATGTCGCTGTGGTTCCTATCTCTCTACCTTGTATGGTCATTTTGGTAATGAACCGTTAAAGTCTAAACATTTTTGGTTAAGTATCGTTGCATTTCAAGTCTATTTTTACCGTTATGACCGTTATCCTATGATGTATACCATCTTTCTCCTATAGGATTTTTCAGTATACATATCCTGTGGATGAAAAACATTCAAGACCAGTAAATTGATTTTAATGAAACCGTCACAGAATCATCATTACATGTTACCAATTCACATCTCTTTCATTATTTTTTTCGAACAAAATTACTAGAGAATGAATTTGGAAAATATTTTGCTTTGACGACACATGCACTTGTCTCTGACAAAAAATGTTATACTTAGGGATATAGGAATTTTTATTTCAGAGACAAGTGCCTGTGTCTGACGAGAGGAATGGAATGGGTGCTTGGAAAGACGATATGATATGTTGTCTCTGCATTTTTCTACTGAGTGCGGTTTAAATTGACAGTAACTTCTTTTTTACAGAGTGCTCCAATTGTGAAGAAATGGGTGGGAATAAGACCACACCGGACATCAATCCGAACAGAGATAGAACTTAAACAAGTTGACGGTCATATCATGAAGGTAAATCATAAAAAACACGATCGATCAAAACGGATATGCATAAAAAAATGACATTGTAGCATTGTCAACATTTGTAAATAAAAAATATAAATCCTGCAACTACTGATCATTGCAGGACATCATATGGGATAACTCTTGTCCATTATAAAATGTTGGATCAGAACCTTATTTCGTGCGATTTCTTCATAGCTTGATCACACCTCTTTGTTGTCATGATTGAATGTCACATTTAATAATGGAGGTATTAATTAGTTTTAGTAAAGTTATGACTAATTGGATAAAACTAGTTTGTCGAACAGTTTTCTGACGAATTTTCTGATTTTCCACAGTTACTTACACAAATTGCAGTTGATGTCAACAAAGCTCTCTTCAAACTCGCAAATTATACTAACTATATGTTTGGTGCACTTCTATTTTCATCAACATATGCTTCTAACTTATTATTTTACTTCTTCATACAGGTTGTTCACAATGTGGGACATGGAGGAGATGGTGTCGCCCTGAGTTGGGGGAGTGCGATAACTGCTACCAAACTAGTTGCACAGATTCTATACTCCGATGTCACAATCCCAAGATCAAAATTATAAACCAAAGCATATCAAATCTATGTTGTATACAAATAATCTGTTGATAACTGTATTTTTGTTAGAATAAATATTCCTGTGAAAATGAATTTTTACAATTTAAGATAATGTATTGTATTGTTATATGCTAGTATATAGGCTCACATACCGCATACTCACCAATGCACCACCCACAAAAACATTACCCGATTGAATATGTCTATACTTAATATGTACGAAAGACATAACAGTTTACTAGTATACCTGCATGCTAGCTCTCAGTTTTGATGATGAACATTTAACAGATGATTTATATACAGCAAACAAAGAGTTATGTTCAAAATAAAGTTGGAAATTTTGAATGCCTGCATGTAGCTTTTAATCAAGAGATTCAGAGGATTTTTTTCGATATTTCAATAGGTCTAGGTATGCGAAATGTGTAGGATTGTAAATGCATTGCCTCCCTTTGACCAGAAGCTCCAGAATGATTTGGGAAAATAAAATACATTGGAATTAAAGACCAATTCCCAATTAAAGCATCATAGTAAACATAGTTTAAATAGTTCAGGATATAAATTTTGATAAAAATAATACAAACTCCCGCAACCCTTGTAAAATGACACATATCCTCACATAAATGAGACTATCACTGAATTAGCACTTGCCATGAGCAACACATGTGGTGCCACATTTGGAGCAGGATCAGCTTACCCTTCCGAGTCTTACGGTTTTTTGTGGGTTTCATGTTGCTGAGTCCTTACTTTTCTATGTAATGTTGTGCACACTTTTCTGGATTTTCATTGTTCAGTGGCAAATATTATAGCATACCAGTACGAAAACATGATAATGTGTTATGAATAACGAACCCTGCATTGTAAAAGACTGAGACGCTGAGCCGGATTTTTTAACGTGCTAATTCACAAGGTAACAATCAACAGAAAGAAATCAAGACATCGCCTATATAGCGGTGTGTGGAATTAAAGGATAAGGCTAGCTTCTTTTTGTTCTTCTTGAGAAGCTTATATGAAGTCTGTCTCATAGTAAATGGCACACGTTGGTGATTTGAGGAAAACATGGTAATAAAATTGAGAATGGAAATGGGGAATGTGTCAAAGAGACAACAACCCGACCACAGAACAGACAACAGCAGAAGGCCACCAACAGGTCTTCAATGAAAACTGAATGTATTTTGAAAAAAAGAAAGTGTATGAAATAATTACGCATGAAGGTTTTTTTAAGTAATTTATGTTAACGAAATCCCCAATTTTATAATTTAGAAGTTACACATAGAATTCGTTAATCGAGAAAGCAAGAATTCGCTATATACAGACACAGGTAGGGCAAACGAATTTGGAAATATACCATAAGATTAGAGTTTACCTTGTGAAACAGAAATATCCAAATCAAGGAAATGACGTAAAGTTCTTGCAGGTTATATAAGATTTGTTTAACTAAAATTTACTATTGCCCCCTACATACTTTCAATATTGTAACTGTATAAAATGATGGCATAAACAAACTGTATATCTAGTTATAACAGCATCTGCTGAGATGACCCCTACTTAAAATTATTGTATAATCTGTTGCTATAGACCAAATTTCTATAATGTAACATCTCTTTCTGAAATGGCCCCATTCCAATAGTTAAAGTGAAAATTGTTGTTAAAAATCCTGTGTGCTACATTATCTGTTAATACATTTATCTAAAGTAAATGCATAAAACGTTTTTTACCCATATATTCTCTTACTGTAGCATCACTGCTGATACGGTTCTACCTCTATTTACTTTAACAACACTTACTGAGCGATATTACACATATATATACCTTTAGTTACTGTATATATATATGAAGTTTAACAGTGTTGTGGTAGACCTTGTCTCACTGTAAACTTGTTTGCTGATATAGTATCTTCCAAAAGTTAGTTTTAACTGTTAAATATTGCGTCAACACTATAATTTATCTTTGAATATTGTTTTATTGGTATTAATATTGATTGTGTTATCAGTAAATTAAAATCAAACTAAATATCATTTTTATATACATATGCACATTTATGGATCTACAAGCTGTTGATGCCTGTATCTTGGCATTGTACAAGGTCCTGTTTTTCTCTGACTGTTAATGTCGTCTTTACACTAAATTCATTGGACGTTGGATGTGTACTGATTGATATTTTAGTCTTAGATGCATGAATTTTTTTATTAGTTGTTATTGTTATTGGCTTTGAACTAGCTGTCAGTAACTGCGAGTACTCTCAGATCTGTACTTAGTGTCTTTTTCCTGTTGGGATGTATAAGTACCCTGCCACGTCCACTCTGTGTTTTTGTTAGATGTATTTCTGGTTTGTATCAATCTGATGAGTTAAGCCCTTTTCAACTGATTTTTATAGTTTGTTCTTATGTTGTACTGTTACACCACTGTCCCAGGTTAGAGGGAGGGTTGGCGCCTTCAAACTAGTTTAACCCCGCCACATTCTATATCTGCCTGTCCCAAGTCAACTGAGCTTGTAATTCAGTGGTTGTCGTTTGTTGCTGTATATCATATTTGTTTTTCGTTCATTATTTTGTAAATAAATCAGGCCGTTAGTTTTATCGTTTGATTTTTTTTTTACATTTTTACATTTGTCATTTCGTGGCCTTTCATAGCTGACTATGCAGTATGGGTTTTACTCATTGTTGAATGCCGTACGGTGACCTATAGTTGTTAATGTCTGTGTCATTTGGTCTATTGTGGAGAGTTGTCTCATTGGCAATCCTACCACATCTTATTATTTTTTATTTATACTGTATAAATGTTGTCATCTTAATCATCAGTATCAAACCCCCACACAATCGGATACTTAGAACTGACAAAGAACAAACTACAGAAAGGGGGGGGGGGGGGAGGGTGTATTCTATAACTAGTGAAATAAAAACAATTTTGAACGATTTTATGCTAACAAATTATATATTTCCAATTCAGGGGGACGCCCTCTATGCCCTCCTCTGAATCCGTCACTGCCTGGCGTAGAAGACAGAAAATTTAAATCTCCATTAGAACACTTTGTGGAAGAACAAGACCCAGTTGAAAAATATTTACTTTAATTAAATGGTATTAAGTCTATGGGGCCGGATAAAATTCACCTTTTTATTATAAAGACGGTGGTAAATTTTGTTTTCGAAACTTTAACTGTGATATATCAAAAGTCCATTGTAGCTGTAAATATTCCGAAGGAATGGAATGATGTCAGGGTTACACCTCCTTTTACAAATAAATGTGAGCTGGATTCCGGTAACTACAGGCCAGTCAGATTAAGTTCAATTGTATGTAAAACTTTAGAGAATATTATCCGTAAGCAATTGATCAATAATTTAGTTTCAAACAGCTCAATATCAGATTCCCAGTTTGACTTTCGTTCTTGTAGATCGTTTATTTAACAGTTGCCCGACGTCAATGAAGATTGGTCAGTGTTAATGAATAATGGTATATCCTGGGATACAATATATCTTGACTTTGTAAAAGTTTTCGATAAAGTGCCTCATTAAAGATTAGTTATAAAACTGCATTCATACGGTATCTACTTGGTGGTTTTTAACGACCTTGACTGGCTGTTAAGCCCTTGCACGGTCGGTTAATTATCCGTGGATCCATCTCAGGATTGATACCTGATTTTTTTAACTGAAGTAGCAGTGAAAGGCGAAAAATCTGACTGACTGGCAAAATGTTACAAGTAAAGTACCCAAGGCAGTGTATTAGGACTTAATAATATTATTTAAAATTTTATACATCAATGATTTACCAGATGTTAAATTTTTGCAGATGATACCAAAATTTATATGCCAGCGACTCTTTTCACAAAAACTCTTAAGAGTAAAGATACTCGTAAGTCATACACATTTCAGTATAACTTACGATCAATTTTAATCGTAACTTCGGATTTTTGTGAAAAGAGTCGCAGGTGCTACGTTTGCGTCAAAACGCCCAGGCGTACACATGAATTTTGGAAGATTTTTTATTTAAATGAATTAAACGAATTGGTTAAAAGCATATGAGCCTTGTAATTCTTTATTTAATGACTTGTAATTGAAGATAAAAGTGACAAAATTTAGTTTTTAATCAAACGGTATCATATTATATATGTCTGTTCATTTTCTGTCAAAGTCTGAATCATCTGTGAATTCAACTCTGTTTCTTATTGCTAATTTTTAAAGCATTTCGTTATATATAATAATCATATTGACATTAACAATGAGAGTGGGTCTTGGTGGCGGTGTTTGGCAGTCTGAAGGAGTCAACATTAAATATTAATTAAGTAAAGCTTTTATTGAAAATCTTAACTTAGATATAAGATGATGTGGTATGAGTGCCAATGAGACAGCTCTCCATCCAAGTCACAATTTGTAAAAGTAAACCAGTATAGGTCAAAGTACGGCCTTCAACACGGAGCCTTAGCTCACACCGAACAGCAAGCTATAAAGGACCCCAAAAATGACTAGTGTAAAACTATTCAAACATGAAAACCAACGGTCTAATCTATATAAAAAAAACGAGAAACGAGAAACACTTATGAACCACATCAACAAACGACAACCACTGAACATCAGGTTCTTGACTTAGGACAGGTGCAAACAAATGCAGCGGGTTTAAACGTTTTAATAGGCGCCAACCTTCACCCTACATGAAACAATAGTGTAACATCACAACATAGAAAGACACACTATAAAATATCAATTGAAAATTGAAATGGCTTAACTCAATCAAAAGACATATATTAACAAAAACAAGTGAACATACACTGAACAAATAAATTTGATCTATGGCACAATGTAAATACAAAATTAGTAAAACAATGGGGTTAGATGTAAAACAATATCAGAAAGACAACCATAACCTTGGACAAAATGCCGCCAAATAAAATAAAGTACACAGGTAAATAAAAATAATTTTGTTGTAAGGTATACATGGAATACGGAAATAATTGTGTTGTTCCTAGTACGAGAACATTATTTAATTGTAGATAGGTGACTGAGTTCAGATTTAAAGCCCAGTATCTGTTAACTATATACAAGCACCAGGAATCAAATTCCACATGCTAAACTTGAAGAAATATTTTTAAAGCGTACAGGAATGAGATCCATGGAGATTCGAACTTCTTCAAAACAGAGGTTGATCGTTGGATCGTCCGTTAGAGAACTTTCTTTTTTGTACAAAACTTTAAATATGATAAGATAATGCTTGTATCCGTGTGTTTGGATCATACTCACCGTACTGCTTACCATGCCCGTTGCTACACCGAGAAATGCCAATTAATGTAAAGGGAGATATAAAAAAATTTGCTTCGCGTAAAAACAGGAAAATGTCTCTGCTGAACTAATACCGATTTTGTACTTCAAGTATATTTTATTTCTTAAGTATTGAATGTCGATATTCATGTTCTCTGGTTCTAAGATTACGTTGCATATGCAGTGATTTATACAATTCTGGTAACTTTTATTCACAATACTGTACAAATCTTTACAATTGATTGTTTGATAAATGTATATTGATATAAGAAGATGTGGCATTAGTGCCAATGAGATAACTCTCCATTCAAATCTTAATTTGTAAAAGTAAACCATTATAGGTCAAAGTACGGCCTTCAACATGGAGCCTTGGCTACCTATTTTGACTGACGTTTTCTATATTATATATGGAAGCTAAGATACGATATGTGCTTTGAACTTTTATATTACACCTGAACATCTATGAAAATTAATTATTTCATATGTGCATTAACGAAATTTGCGCATAAAAAGCCACGGTGAAAAAATTAGAGGAAGTCAAAATAATTGATAGAATGACAACATTGAAATGAAGACTTGCTTTTTTAAAACTATCTTTAAAATTTTGGATTTTTTTTCGATTGATTGTTTAAGCCCTCATCTCCTTTTAAACATATTTTACAGAAACTGGTTTTGAAGTTCTTCTCTAAAACCAATGATCATTAGATTCCAAACCAACACAGTGAATAAATCAAACAGAAATATAAACATATGAATCTCCAATTGGACAAGTAGGCTGCTATTGATGAGTTTTTGATGACAGAATGGTATCTGTTTCTCGCTAACGCGCGAGCTGCCGGAAGGCTAAGCGCCCCCTGGACCACACTGCCGGGGCTCTGCCCTGGATCCTCTGAGGGGCATGAAGCGACCCTATATTCGGGTGTAAATTTGAAAATGGCATAGCTATGCCACTGTACTTCTGTAAGCGCGATCACTATGGAAGAAATAATCCTGAAAATGCTTATACTATGACCAATGCAGATATCATTGAAGAGGAACAATAAGAAAAGGATCTTCAACGAAATTATTTTTCAAAAGACCTTAAATTTACACGGCATTCTTTAAGTAAAATCAATATAGCCATCGTATTCTTGGTTTGATTAACCGGACATTTAGTTTTAAAGATCAATCTATATTTTTAAAATTATATATTGGATTAGTACGACCATATTTGGAATATGGAAACACCATATTATGATACATGCATTTAAAAAAGAGATATAATTTCTGTTGAAAATGTGCAGATGAGATCAACTAAATTAATTCCAGATACAGTTAACTCTGTTTGCCTCGAACTCGGGTTTCTCGAAATATTTCTCTGATGAAAGATTTTTGACATTTTTTAAACACTTAAGTGTCTACTTCAGTCGATTCAATTGGTTCATGTAAAAGATTTGAACTGATTTGGTCTATAAGACGCTCAAGTTCAAGCTTAAATATGAAAAATCTATCAAACATGCCATATGTAAGTGGCCGTACTGATTCATGTTCAGTCTCAACCTTTATATATGTTATGCATTATCATCAAATACAACATAGATTTAAATATTAAGACTGAACACAAGTGCGGCCACTTCCATTTTAGCCGTCTAAAATTAGCACAAATGCTAAAATTGTGAAGTTTTTAGTAATCTTGCATGAATAAATGATGCTAGAACCTGATGCATGTGCATCGTATTGTCAAAAAACAGCCCATATTTATGTAACAAACGTATTCTTCTTTCCAATAACTAGCTAAAAGTTTACGTTTTAACAAATTTGTGAAAATGCTATATTTTTGGGCCAAAAAGGCTTTACCGGGCCCAATCCTTTGTGCAGCTGCTATGAAGCTTGAAAGATTAAAAGTACTCAAACTTCCTCCTCGGCTAACTTACAGAAGTTGTCGTTGTGATATGATACAAACCTTTGAACTTATAAAAGGATTTGAAGATATAGGTACCGTCAGAGACATATAATATGTATTATATGTCTCTGGTACCGTGTAAAAGATTATGTCTTCAAACTATGATTTTGTCATTTTTCACCATTCTACTAATAGTCATAGTGATGGACATCTAGATATATTTATACTCTTTTTCTGTTTGGTAATTAGTAACATTCAAATAACTAGCATATAAAACTCTGAGACAGAGAACAATAAGTATACGGCCCTCTAAGACTTAACAAAATTGTCGGATATATCTCATATCGTTCCGTCCTCGGTTCGAAATTTATCATACCGCGTGCAGCTTCCGTTTTAAAGTCGAACAGAAGACGACTTTAAAAAATATCTATCTTTTATCAGTTTATTACATTTCTCTTCAGGTAAACTACATTCTCAGCTTGATGTATTTTTACAGTCCATCGTATGTGTAAAATCTCAAATTTATCGTGACCCTCCCTAAAATAGATCATCCTGATGACCCTGTGTCTCAGAAAAAGCAACAGATCAAGTTATACAAATTTTATGTTATAAGCTCACATTTTGGCCTCAAATCACAATTATTTTTACTATTGCTTACACTGCATTTCTTTTTTAAAACAAATTGGCTTTCAAAAATTGCACCTGTTATAACGTGAAATAATGAATTAACCTGCTTACATTGTAATATCCATTATTATTTTAATCATGTTAATAGAATATGCACGTCCCAGCAAAATCCATTGGTGTTTTCTCTCTTCAGAGCTTGGGCCCCAAAAATATTCAAAGGATATAATTTGAGTCTTGAATAAATGCTGAATATTTATATTTCTACCCAACTTTCACTTTGGCCAAATTACTACTTTCACTTTCAACAGTAAACTTTTTCACAATGTTATATTACTACATGTATATACAAACGTTACATGTCTATAGGTACCTGTACCATGTAATTATAATTGATAATCATATGTTATCTGGGATTAGTATAATATAGTAATATGTTATGCCCCAGGTGTAACATATGAAATGCAGTTTCATTTTTATACGCCCGTTTACAGGATGTATTATGGTATACCGTTGTTTGTTCGTCTGTCTGTTGTCAACGCTTCGGACAATAACATCAAAATGCTTTTACCAATTTTCATGAAACTTTGGTGAATTGTTTATATCTATTGACGTAAGCTCTCTGTCAGTTTTAATTAATTTTAGATTTTAAGTTTCCGTTTTGGGACTTTATTCATAAAATGTGGGATTTTCCAGATTTAGGGCAATAACTCAAAAATGCTTTGAGCAGTTTATAAAACTTTGAAGGCTCGTTTATATCTATTGAAATAAACTCCCTTTTGTTTTTGATAAATTTCTGATATGACATTGTGGTGATATGTTTCTTTATTCGTTGACAAATTGTTGAAAACTGTCCATTTTATAATTTCCACACTTTGGACGGTTGCAGAATTTTATTGGTTTAAAAATCGATGCCACAAACTTAGTTAAACATGAAGTAGCCCTCATCATGCTCATAGTGTCAAATTATTCATGTTTTGTGTCAATGGGTACCACTATGTGTTCATGTTGGTTTTTTTTTTGGGGGGGGGGGGGGGAGGAGGGGTCTATTCTAGCAGTGTTCACAGTATTTCTAGTTGATCATCATAAATACATTTAAAGCATAATGATGAGCTAAAAGGGCAACGGGCGTAGCATGTGCTCATGGCGCAGCTCTTTATTATATAAAACCCAACAACACCTTACCTGCAATACACTTATAATTTAATGTCCATTCCTTATCTAATAACTTTATTATTTATAGCATTTTTAATTTTGCTGAGGTCAAGTACTCCTTCCCATTCTTGTGTTTAGGGTAAGCAAATTGTAGGTTGGGAAATAGATGTTTAGCTTGTTTATAATTTTTTCACAAAACTGTTATGGCGACTGCTACTATGACGACACTTAAAAGTCACATCACAATCACAATCTAAGGTAGATAATTGGAAAAACCTGTCTATTTACAAAAGGGGCACAGGAAATAAAGTCACAATGAAAATCAAACTTATATAGTTCATTTGTTGAATTAGATCTTAAAGTAAAATGTATTTTTTAAAAATTTTTTTTAAAGAATTTCATTAGTAATTTAGTAAGTAAATGCAATATTATTTGAAAAAATATTTTTATTTTGATCAAAGTCTCTCTGATCATTCTTCAACAAAGACTAAACTCAATACAGTTGATATTTTTAAATATTAAAGTATAATATATTTTTGACCATGCCAGTGACAATTTTTTTCTGACTCTGACACTCTAGAATCTGATCGTTTTGTCTTTGATTTTTTGAAGTAACATATTGGACAACAAGATCATTGTGATCATGACCTTTGACGGATCTAAAAATAGCCATAAGAGCGTAAAATAACTAAGTCTTTATGTAACTTCGGCACAATTTAATTTTGCATATTTGGTTTCTTCGATGTTAAATGTTTATCTTATCTACATTTGTAATGTGGAAGCAGAATATAAGCTAAATTAAAATCTGAACTACAAAATTATAGGTTTCCCAACACAGTTTTCATGTGATTTTCAAATTCACATTTATTTTTAATGGCGGATTAGGTTGTAAAACGTAGTGATGTCTTTTATGTTTTATAGACTTGTTGTGATGATTTTTTTGTCTTTAAATGTATTATTGAATTTAGATAATATGCATTTTCTATGTGCAATATATATTTAACATATTACATCTATGTTTCTAAATATTCATGTAGGTTGTACCTATGAGATTGGATATCAGTTCGAATAAATAGGGTAATTGATATTGGTTTGAACATGTACATTGTATAACTCATATTAAAGTACAATGGCACATAAAATTGTAGTTCGAGATTCCTTTGGCATCCCTGTGGCCCCTACCAAGCCTGAAAAACAGGCAATTGGATGGCAAAGGAAATGAAATATAGATTATTTATGATATTTTTTTTCAGGATAATTGTCATAACCATGGCAACATCTGATGATAAAAACATAAGAAAAACATTTTCTGTACTTGAAAATGCTAAGACAGATAATGAAAGATTTGCAGCCTTGCTTCTGGTAAGTTTTTTCATACATGTACTATGTGAATATATACTTTTACCTCATCATGCTTTATATAATACATTAGCTATATACATGTAATGTCATTACTTCATATAAGTTGTTTATTAATAATCTTTGAATATTCCAAATGTATAGTCTTGTGTGCATTGTACAATACGGAAAGATCTCTTCAGAGAATTGTCATTTTATGTCAGATAATCAGATGAATTACATGACCCCTTACAAGCAGTTCTTCAATCTGATGAGACACTTAATCTACCCATGTCAAATGTAATTAAAAGACTACAGTACTACTACTATTAAGGTCTAAATGACTTAAGTTGATTTATATGTATAAATTATTCTACTACCAGTAATTAACCTAAGACCTTTGGAGCCGAGTTTTCTTGGTCATTAGGTTGACAACTACTTTTACACTGTATGCTAGCCTATTACCACTGCATGTACCCAATGTATGTTGGGCTGGAGTTTCAGAACCAATTTGTTCACATAAAAAATATCAAGGTTCAACTGATCTACCAATATATGTGCTAGAGATTACTAGTTACTCTCAAATTGTCAATAGTTTTACATGGACACACAGGTCCCCAACCCACCCAAATAAAACTTAATGACATAATTTGTATTGAAATTTGCTTCAGTTAATAAACAAACTAATCATTTTCATAATATTCTTTTGATATTTGTAGTTTGCAAAGACTACCAATGCCAAACAGTTGTCATTGGAAGACAGAAAAAGAGCACTTGATGCCATTGGAGTTACGTTCTTCAATAGATTATTGAAATCAAGTAAGATTGTAATTTTAAGCTGATATGAATTTTTTTTGCCAATGAATGCTAATTAAATTCCAAAATCTGAAAGCTGTCATTTTGTTATATGTATTGGTAAATCAAATAAGCATGAATTTGTCATTTCAGTAAACAGGAGAAAAATTATATAAAATATTCTCAAGAAATTTCATGTTTCAGGTAAATATATAGATAGGGGCTGATTAATAGAAAAATTGATTGCTTTACAGAATTTTTCATTGAATTTAAATGAATTGTTTATTTACAGAAAACATTCCAGAAGATTGTGAAGTCGATGTTTACAGAAGTTTAGCATTGAAAATTCTATCAGGCTTATGTGGTGATAATCAGCTGGTTTGTATTACTAACACATGTACTAAGCTAGGAAAACTGACAATCCTCACAACCAGAAACTGTTTTTACCATTTTTTTTTTTTAACTATAAGTATCTCCTTTGAAAAGCATTATGTGAGATGTTATCTAACTTGCTGTAAAAAAAATGTTGTGAAGATACTTTTTGTTGTTGTTGAATAAAAATAAAGCAGCAAAAGAAAGATTAAATTCATATTTCAACCATTTAAAAATTTCTTTAAAATTGTTTTAAGATACTCAAAATCAAACCAAATTTAAACACACACCAATTATTTTTGAATCTCATTGGTTCAACAGATCCTATTTAATGTCTCTGTATGGCAAACATAAAAAAAGATATGTATAGAAACAAGACTTTTAATAAGCCATATGTGTGATTTTATTTACATTTTAGTATAAGTGTGACAAAAATTGTCCACAAAATACTTTATTTTTTCAATTATCATATTTTATTTTGTTTCAGGTATTAGAATTTGAAGTTTATAAAATCCTTAGAAGTATAAATGACATTATAACAGACAGTGACAGGTAATATATAACTTACAATGTATAATTTCTTCAGAAAAAAACATATTTTCAAGATGTATTATTTTCAGTTGTATTTGATGGGGGCAAATTTTACAGCTCTTCCCAAAAATGGTTGGTAGGCATAGAAATAATTGGCTATTTAGTGTTTAACTCTGCCTTAAAGAAACCCAGAACTGACATGAAATTGAGAATGAAAATTGGGAATGTGTCAAAGAGACAACAACCCGACCAAAGAGCAGAAAACAGCTGAAGGCCACCAATGGGTCTTCAACACAGCAAGAATATCCCGCACCCGGAGGCGGGCTTCAGCTGGCCCCTAAACAAAAATGTGTACTAGTTCAATGAAATTGGACGTCACACTAAACTCCAAAACATATAAATGAACTCAAATTAAAAAAATGTTTCTAAATGTTATTTCATAATTTGAAGTTTTAATTTAAGAATATCATGTAAAAAATCTTTCCTTGTTTTTTCCAGTCAGGAAGATATGATAATAGATTGTTATGATTTACTGTCAGCTTTTGCACAAACAGAAGAAGGTTCTATAAAACTGGTGGATTATGGGACAGTAACTGCCTTGTCTGAAGTAATTACAAAACATTTACCTGGTAGGTCTTTATCGGATCATTCTAGAATAGAATCATTATTGAAACACTTGAATGAATTATGCATTAATAGTTTATACTGGAGATGTTTGCTTAAATACAAATGTAACTTCAAATATTCATAGTGGGACTTAATAACACATATGATAAAAATTCCATATATCTTCCGTTTTACTGTAAATTCATAAATTTTTGAGTGCAATTAACATTTTGATTGTTAAACAATGGAAATAAATGTAAGATTTAATATTGTAATTTTAGAAAAACCCACAGACCATTAATGCTTTTGAAATTTAAAATGCAAGTTTTATATTTGTGAAATCTTTCTCATTGCAATTTTTCACGATTATGAAAACATAGCAAAAAGTTCTGAATTGACAGTCTCTTGAATGTCTGGTGCAAGAGTAAAACATTTAAAAAAAAACATATACAGTACAGTTATCAATAAATTCATCAGAAACGTGACAGAAAAAGGTAGAAATGGAACTGAGTGCTCTCTAAATACATGTAGTCTCTATGAAATATATTCACAACTTTTCTCGACTCACTTGTCTTGTTGAAGACCATTTTGTTTACCTTAGACATTTTCTGGTTTCTGGTCTTTTGTGTCATTGGGTTGTTGTCTCTTTGACATATACCTTACATATCCTTTATTCATGAACACATTTTCTCTATAAAAGTCTGAATATATTGTTACTTTTAATACTTTTTTAAACAGGCTGTGAAAAAGGACAAGTTATCTTACAATCAGTACTACATCTTTGTGGTGATTATGCATGGAAGAAAGATACTCCATCAATGCAGGTTGTATTAGAACATTTCTGTAATCAACTGGAAACTTTTCAGGTATGCATTAACTTGACAAATAATAAAATGAATTGTGGGTATTGATTTTCTGCAACTGATCAGATTGCTACAGTAGATATTGAAAGTGAGAACTAACCTATCATTCCCTCACAATTTTGTTTTAGGCAATTGGCACTTTCTATAAAGCCTAAGACTAAGTAATGTATACTAGTCTGCAAAAGAAAAAGACTGTTGCACCCTCTGAAACAAATTTTTAGCAAGCCAAAAGTAAATTCCTTTAGCCCCAAATGAATTTAGGATTTCTGTTGGTATTACAACTTTTCAATTCATGACCTGTTAACTTAAGAAAAACTGTATATAAAGATATGAAAATCCTACAGTTGCAGTAATGACTTCCATTCTGCAAACCAATGCTGTTATCATATAATTTGTTTAAACAATGCTAATCTTCAGATGAATAAAACAGGATGTATATTTATAAGCATATTAAAGGCCTAAGATATGTTATTTATTTGAAATGAATATAGAAAGACTTTTAGAGTATGCATTTGTTGTTTTTTTAATTAGAGTATTCAACATTTAAAGTGGGCAAGCTTTTTGATTAGACCTTAAAAAATAATATACAGCACATACAATACATTATATATAAAACATCATATTGTTGTTATGTTTTTTTCAAATTGCCTTTATATTTTAGGATGAAAGAAAGTTTGAGCTATGTGCTGTTGTGTCTGGAATAGTGTCATCTTTGCCTAAAGATGTGGTTAGTTCTTATTTCTTAATGTAACCTATAGAAAGCAATGCATCTCTAAGCTTACAAATTAAGTTCTATATGTTCACAAATTTTGAGGAGAAAATGCTGTGCTCTATATTTTATTTGTAAATTATCAAGTAAATTAGTATAAGATTTAAACTTGAAGAAAGAAAATGTGAACTAGATTTGGGAAGGTAATTCATTTCTGTGATTTCAGTTTATGAAGCTGTGTAAAAGGATGTTATTTCAAGTTTCTAAAAGCAAACTTTTTTATTTTAATATTGATTGGTATATTATAAATACTTCTTTTGCCTTATAATTAGATTTCACACAGAAAGTAGAAACATTTAATCATTATACCTCTGGGTATGTTTATTTTTAATCATGTTAAAAATCTTTAGAAGCGCTAGAAAATCATGCAGACTATGACTTTCTTTGAAAAAAGATTAATTGTTTAATAGTAAATTTTCTAAAATGTATTATGTTAACAAAGAATAGGGAAAAACTTTGGTGATATTACTCCTTTATTTTTGCTGACAATGAAAGGTCTTGATACATATGTAGGATAAAATAGGCCCCTTCACGGTTAGTTCGGCCATATTGGATAGGGGGCAGATTTTCATAATGGAGGTAAAAATAGTATAAAAAATACGGGAAAACATCATTAAAACAGAGCAGTTGCTTGGAAACATGCATAGGATTTCCTGTACTATCATACTATTTCCACCTCTTTAAAAAAAATCTGCCCCCTATTCAATATGGCCGAACTAACCGTGAAGTGGCCTATTGTTTCCATTTTTGTTATGTGGTCAAACTATGTAAGGATTTGCTGGTTTCAGAGTGTTCTTTACATATTATCTGTCATACTGTATTCATTTTGAATCAGATTTTTGTGGATCTACAGATTCCAATCAATGGTATTCACCAAAACTTGTTTTAGCATTCAACAAAGGGAGATAATTATGGCGATCAACAGAAAATAAAAGTAAATTTTTTCATCTTTTAGAGCATTCTATGTAAATGATTAAACAAATACATGGTTCTTAAGTTTTCAGTTTCATTTAACAATAAATATTGTAAAAAAATTATTATTGAGCAGTCGGAAAGCACTGTTCACTGGAATTTAATGATGCATGTTTGAAAGTCCTTAATTCATTTTTTATACGACCGCAAAAAAATTTTTGCGAATATATATTGGTATGACGTTGGCGTCGTCGTCATCATGGTTGTCGTCGTCCGAAGACACACTGGTTTTCGCACTCTAACTTTTGTTTAAGTGAATGGATCTCTATGAAATTTTAACATAAGGTTCAATACCACAAAAGAAAGGTTGGGATTGATTTTGGGGGTTATGGTACCAACAGTTAAGGAATAAGGGGCCAAAAATAAGCATTTTTGTAACTTCCAGACATAACTTGTGTGTTAGTGTATGGATCTCTCTGACATTGTACCACAAGGTTCCATATCACAAAGGGAATGCTGGGATTGATTTTGGGGGTGATTGCCTCAAAATTTTAGGAATTAGGGGCCATAAAAGGGGCAAAAATCAAGCATTTTTATATGGACAAATACTTTAGTACAAAACATAATTTAAAGCAGTGTAAGGGAGATAAATCAAATACATCATTTGAATTACCTCCCTTACACTGCTTTTAAACTATGTATAAAGTAATGGTTAATGAACAATTAAGACAATTTAAAACAGTGTAAGGGAGGTAATCCACATACAACGCTTTGATTACTTCCCTTACACTGCTTTTAAATTATGTTTAAAGAAATGCAAATTTATAAAGGAAGACCAGTAAAAATTTCTGCAAATGTTGCATCTTTTTTTTTTTTACAAAAAAATCCATATGAAAGATTTGACACCATATTTTAAATTCTATTATAAAATAAATTAAGTTAGCACTAAAGTAAATTTAAATGGGTAATTATGGTTGCAATTCCATTGGAAATTTGAATTGAGATTATGACCATATCTTGAGGGAAAGAATTGAGGGGGGGGGGGGGGGGTAAAAAGAAATTATGGGGGGTCAATTTTTTCTCATTTCAGATTTCAGAAATTAAAAAGAATTATTCCTCAAATATTATTTTTTTTTCAAATTTCAAATATTGAAAAATTTCAAGAAGTAATCTTTAATTGCACAGTATGGCGCATTAGATTTGTAAAATCTTTGACCACATTTATTTATTTGTTATGCCAAATCTGACCGTGTATTTAGATTTTTAATTTTGTGTCCAGTTTTCAAATTGGTCTACATTAAGGTCCAAAGGGTCCAAAATTAAACTTAGTTTGATTTTAACAAAAATTGAATATATGGGGTTCTTTGATATGCTGAATCTATACATGTATTTAGATTTTTAATTTTGGGCCCAGTTTTCAAGTTGGTCCAAATTGGGGTCCAAAATTAAACTTTGTTTGATTTCAACAAAAATTGAATATATGGGGTTCTTTGATATGCTGAATCTAACCATGTATTTAGATTTTTTATTTGTGTGCCCTGCTATCAAATTGGTTAATATTGAGGTCAAAAGGGTCCAAAATTAAACTTTGTTTGATTTCAACAAAAATTGAATATATGGGGTTCTTTGATATGCTGAATCTAACCATGTATTTAGATTTTTGATTTTTGGGCCCCGTTATCAACTTTGTCCACATTGAGGTCAAAAGGGTCCAAAATTAAACTTAGTTTGATTTTAACAAAAATTGAATTCTTGGGGTTCTTTGATATGCTGAATCTAAACATGTGTTTAGATTTTTGATAATGGGCCCAGTTTTCAAGTTGGTCCAAGTTGGGGTCCAAAATTAAACTTTGTTTGATTTCAACAAAAATTGAATATATGGGGTTCTTTGATATGCTGAATCTAAACATGTATTTAGATTTTAGATTTTTGGTCCAGTTTTCAAGTTGGTCCAAATTGGGGTCCAAAATTTAACTTTGGTTGATTTCAACAAAAATTGAATATATGGGGTTCTTTGATATGCTGAATCTTACCATGTATTTAGATTTTTTATTTGTGGGCCCGCTATCAAATTGGTTCATATTGAGGTCAAAAGGGTCCAAATTTAAACTTTGTTTGATTTCATCAAAAATTGAATTCTTGGGGTTCTTTGATATGCCAAATCTAACCGTGTTTTTAGATTTTTAATTTTGGGTCCCATTTTTAAATTGGTCTACATTAAGGTCCAAAGGGTCCAAAATTAAACTTAGTTTGATTTTAACAAAAATTGAATTCTTGGGGTACTTTGATATGCTGAATCTAAACATGTGTTTAGATATTTGATTATGGGACCAGTTTTCAAGTTGTCCAAGTTGGGGTCCAAAATTAAACTTTGTTTTATTTCAACAAAAATTGGTTTTCGCACTCTAACTTTAGTTTAAGTCAATGGATCTCTATGAAATTTTACCATAAGGTTCAATACCACAAAAGGAAGGTTGGGGGTTATGGTACCAACAGTTAAGGAATTAGGGGCCAAAAAGGGCCAAAAATAAGCATTTTTGTAACTTCCAGACATAACTTGTGTGTTAGTGTATGGATCTCTCTGACATTGTACCTCAAGGTTCCATATCACACAGGGAATGCTGGGATTGATTTTGGGGGTAATTGCCTCAAAATATTAGGAATTAGGGGCAAAAAAAGGGGCAAAAAACAAGCATTTTTCTAGTTTCATGACAATAACTTGTGTGTAAGTGTATGGATCTTTCTGAAATTGTACTACAAGGTTCCATATCACAAAGGGAAAGCTGGAATTGAGTTTGGGGGTAATTGCCCAAAACGTTAAGGAATAAGGGGCCAAAAAGGGGCCAAAAATAAGCATTTTTCTAGTTTCCAGACAATAACTTGTGTTCAAGTGTATGGATCTCTCTGAAATTGTACCACAAGGTTCCATATCACACAGGGAATGCTGGGATTGATTTTGGGGGTAATTGCCTCAAAATATTAGGAATTAGGGGCCAAAAAAGGGGCCAAAAACAAGCATTTTTCTAGTTTCATGATAATTACTTGTGTGTTAGTGTATCGATCTTTCTGAAATTGTACTACAAGGTTCCATATCACAAAGGGAAAGCTGGAATTGAGTTTGGGGGTAATTGCCCTAAACGTTTAGGAATAAGGGGCCAAAAAGGGGCCAAAAATAAGCATTTTTCTAGTATCCAGACAATAACTTGTGTTCAAGTGTATGGATCTCTCTGAAATTGTACCACAAGGTTCCATATCACACAGGGAATGCTGGGATTGATTTTGGGGGTAATTGCCTCAAAATATTAGGAATTAGGGGCCAAAAACAAGCATTTTTCTAGTTTCATGATAATTACTTGTGTGTAAGTGTATGGATCTCTCTGAAATTGTACTGCATGGTACCATACCACAAAGGGAAGGCTGGGATTGAGTTTGGGGTGATGAATCATAAGGGGGTTCAAAAAATTTGGGGGGGGGGATTTTTTGTTTTTTTTCCTTTTTTTTCTTTTTGCTCCTTTTTTTTTCTTTTAAAATTTTCCATTTTAAGTTGGTTATTTCTGTTTTATATTTAAAAGCAAATAATAATGATATGTTAGGAGATACACACCAAACAGGATGTGTAAATTATTATATAGTAAGTATTGTGCAATAGCAAGAAATTTTCAATTGCACAGTATTGCACAATGGCAAGAAATCTTCAATTGCACAGTATTGCGCAATAGCAAGAAATCTTCAATTGCACAGTATTGTGCAATAGCAAGAAATATCCAATAGCACAATATTGCGCAATAGCAAGAAATTGTCAATTGTACAGTATTGCGCAATAGCAAGAAATATTCAATTGCACAGTATTGTGCAAAAGAAGATACTTCATATAAATTGCTTATTTCTTGACCAATTTCAATGGGGTTTTATTCTTGAATTCTTGGGGTTCTTTAATATGCTGATTCTAACCGTGTATTAAGTTTTTGGATTTTGGGCCCCGTTTTTAAATTGGTCCATATTGAGGTCCAAAGGGTCCAAAATTAGACTTTGTTTGATTTCATCAA